TAGGCAATTATCGTAAGGTCTTGCAGCTGATCCACGCCACCGGTCCCAAAAAGCAAGCGTCAGTGAGACAGCGCGAGTGTCTAATGCACAGTAAGGAGCGCCGTTTGATTTGTTGGGCTGAACACTTTGAAGAGCAGTTCAGTTTGCTCCCAGATTCCGGAACTCTTCCTACTCAGGAGGTGCATCATGAGCCATAGACGTTTACTTTCGAGTCTCCATCAGAGGTTGAGGTCCGAAAAGCGATCACAGCTCTCAATAGTTTTCGTGCTGCTCGCCCGCATTCCCTCCCACCAGGCACAATATAAAGATGGTGGTGAGGTCCTCTGCAAAGCAATGGCCTCCCTGTTCGAACATGTGCGAAAGGAAGTGGCATCCTAACTAACTGAAGTGAATCGATTAGTGGCACTATACAAGTAGGACGGTCGCGCCGATTGTGCTGGTTATAGGGGTACTAGCCTAATGCCGGATGTGACAAAATAACGCCTAAATTCTCGGTTGTTGGTCTCACTGCAAATCGGGAATCCCGAATTAGCGAAGCAAAAGCAGGCTTCCACCTAGGATGGGAGTGTTTTGATAAGACATTTGCTCTCCGACAGGTGCATACCGCAGATCAACAATAGTTGTGTCCCTCGACTACAAGAGTGCGTTCGACTCAGTCGATCGATGCATTCTGTTCGAAATACTTGTGCGGAAAGATGTTCCCACGAAATATGTGGACATTTGGCTGCTCTACACTTGAACACTACAGGCCACCTCAGGGTATACGGTGACGTGTCAGATATCATTCAGAGAACAAGTGACGTTCGTCAGAGTTGTCCGATTTCCTCATTTTTGTTCAATTTCTTCATGGAATGCATCATAGAGTGTTCCCATATGGAGCATCACGATGCCGGTGCTGATGTCCTGCCTGGTGAAAGGTTAGTTATTCTTGATTATGCGGACAATATCGTCTTGATGTTTAAAGATGTTGGGGCAGCCCAATCAACACTGAATAGCCTCACCATAGTGGTCCCATTATTTGGTATGCACTTCGTAACTTCAAAGTCTTGCTACAGGACCACTGGTCACTTGGTGACCCCTCGACCCGATAACGAAGAACTGGAGGTAGTTCAGCAATACACTTACCCTGACAGCTGCATCAGCAGCGATAGGCGCACATAAACTGAAGCCAGTTCATTTTTCAAAAAGCTAGAACTGTCTTCTTGAATCTGCGATGTCTTTGCAGTCACAGAGGTTTAGCTCCTTCTGGAAGGGCGCATTTACAAGACCACAGTAAGGGCCGTCCCACTCTAAGATAGCGAAACTTGGAGCCTTTAAATTCTTGACCATCGCTAGCTCCGAAACATCGCTAATATCGGATGACACCAGCGTGCCCACAAGGATGATGTGCGTAGGCGAGTGCAAGGCAATGATACCCAAGCTAGTTCCTCAGAACAACAATTACCACTGAAAAAGCTGCGTTTGCATGGGAACGTACTACGTATGCCTGATCACCACTTACCTAGTAGGGCCTTGTTTTGTCTGCCAGATGTAGGGTGGCGCAAGACTCAAGGTGAACAAAAGTTAATTTGGCAGCGGGAATTGAAGTCACTGACAACCAAACTCGGTGCCCTTGGTCCGCCTCGCCTTCCAGTTTTGGGTCCACGTGACTCGCCCTGTGCTTGGCTCGAGAATTTACAGGACATGGCTTGTAGTCGATAGCAGTGCCACGTCCGCTGCCATCTCCTAGTCAGACTGGCTGTTTAAAGTGTGTTTGTTGCTGAGTTATCAGCGCAGTAATGGGTGATTATGATGCGGGGGCAGTGAAAGCCGCAAGGAAGCTGTCTCGTCGGTGTCGTCTTATCTTTGTACGATAGCCAGCTGTTTGTGATGGCACGTTGTTGACAAGTTGTAGACGCCTTGACGTTGAGTGTTTGTGTTGTGGTTGCCGTTGAGTGTATGGCTAACCTGCTGGTACTGCGCAGCTGACCGTCGCCAGAAATATGTTGTGGGTTACGCTGATTTTACGGATAACCAACCTGAATCCGCTATGCCGCTCGCAACCCGTTCAACCCGCAACGAAATGAGAACGCCAAGACCAGCCGGACCGATGGATTCGGATTTGTGTTGTATGACAGCATAGCGCAATAAACAGGTTGTACGCAACTACTAACATAACAATGCTGGAGATGCTAATTATTATTACCTAACACAACTCAACCAGTACAAGTTAATGGTTCAACTTGCCGCTGATCCCACATAGATACGCATTTTGATCTCTACTCCAGTTCGATCTCCAATTGTATATCGATCCAATGTTGCGCCACCTTTCTCGGCTTGTACGCTTGGTCTCCGTAACAGTTTGCTTAGGGCATGAAGGTTTTCCGGTCAGCCCCCTTCTCACCCTCTTATTATTCTTCCTTCCGTATGTCGTTGTTGTTGTACAGCAGCGAATCGTCAGTTCAAATGGCTGATGTAATGCCGTTGATGATGATAAAATTGATGCTTCTAGATGCAGTTTTGCTTCGCAGACTCAAATTTCACGTTGTATTGTTATCCAAAATGCTGAAAACTTTAAATGAGTACACCGAGTAGTTTGTACAGCGGAACGAAAGTGAGCGTTACCCATTACGAACCAGACAGTATTGGATTATTTTACTGAAAGGTCGTACAAGAATACGGTCGAGTTTCTTCCTCAACCGATATGTGTTCAAGGGGAATAGGATATCAAAAACCAGCAGGTCAATTTGCACCGTTGAAAAAATGTTCCACAACTATTTGGAATTTCTCCGCTTAGGCTTGTCCGAAGACGACCTATGAAAACGAGGTCCAGAGAGATGCTAATTTCACACGATAGCAATGCGTCTAATCACCTAGACTCCTTTTCATCCGAAGCTTAGGACCGACAGCAACAGATTGTCCTAAGCAGACTTAGCAAAGCCGGTAGCTCTGCCCTGTGGTGGTTTTTGGAACTGACTGCGATGCGTGACTCCACTGCTTGAATTATGGTGGCCAGGATACCTTCGTCGTAATGGCAAGCCAATAGCATACACAAGCTGACCGGGTTGTTACATGCAGCTCAGTAGATTGCCCACCTATGGCTTACTCTTCTCAGAGTATCCTTTCTTGACCAATGCATTAACATATGACTGCACTTAAGCAAATGCCTCGCCGGTCTAGATGTGATTCTGCAGTTTGCCTATCGCGTTCGTCGTGCTGGTACACTTAGTCTTTAGAGTAATATTGTATCCCCCTCTTACATACCCAGAGGTCCACTTACTTTAGTCTTGGAGACTAAATATCCTATTCTGGCCTCCATCTTGGCTCCCTCTCTATATGTGCGTCTTATTTCTATCAGTGCCTTACTGATCTTGAGTGATCCTGCATTTGGCCTTTCGCGAGCCCAATGCTCGCCTTTGCCGTGACATTTTCGCTTCCTTAGTATACAGGCATCTACCTACTATATACCTTGGTACGACACCATGATCCTCTCTTATCCTTGAGCTCAGTATATCGTTATAGCTTACATGGATACTGTGCGGAACGAGGTGGGTTAGTTCAGCTACATTCCCCTCAACAGGGTTGACACTCTCCACTTTCTCGAAGTTCACACATAGCACTGCTCACAGAAATGACTAGCCAGTGAAACCGATTATGTACTCCGAATATTATAGTCTAGTTGTTTATATACCTATTCTTCGTCCCGACACGTTAGCGTAAATAGTTAAGCTTCCTCACAACTTTCATTTATTGGTCAATTTGGACCCTATCTCCATAACGTCTGGCTGATGCGCGCATCATCGAAAGCCAGCTCAGTTCCCGTGCCCTGTACATTATGAGGTTCATTACTGCATCATCATCATCATCATCATCCGTATACACCTTCCATCACCTGCTCAATGGAATGCGCACAAAGAAATCTTCACGAAGCTTGTTTCCGTTGATGGCAAACCCCTCCATGAGGCTGCTCAAGCCGCTGATATCAACGAAAGTACGGCAAGAAACATCATCAATGCCTACAGGCTAGAAGGCGGCATTGCTCAACGCAAATGTGGAGGTAACAACAGGGAGAAGCGGACTCAACATGTGCTGCAGCGCGTTAAAGAGACCGCTGTACGATATTCGCAGGAGACTTTGGTGCAGATGCAGCAGCGGCTGAGTTGAACTGTCAACAGTGCCGCGACCATCGCAAGTTGGCAGGCCTACGTTCTAGACTTCTCGATACACGCGTCGCATGAAAAGAGCAAATGTATTTTCATAGATAAACCAGGGTTCAAACTCTATCCGCGGCGGACGCAGGTTCGTTCAAGAAGAGGGGTGCGCGTGAACGTACACTTGCCCAGTCAGAGGAATCAAGGTGATGCTGATTGTGGCAATGAATAACCAAGGGATCATCCACTGCAAAATGATCAGCGATGGCACTTGCAGTGGTACTAAGTTCTTCACTTTCATCGAGGAACTTGCGGCGCAGCCACGCGGCAGGGTGGAGACGAACAGTGCATGGCTCATCATGGACAACGTGCGCATTCACATGCCAGATGAGCTACGGAGGATCCCGGGCTCCACTTAGAAGCTGAAGTTCCCGTCCCCTACTCGTACATGCTGAATCCTATGATGCAAGGTAGCAAGTCGAAATCAAAGAAAGTGGGCACATTAAGTTTTGGTGGCTGACTTCAAAGTGCATACGACGTCTGTTTGGTCAGGTACCAAACGAGGAAGCAATCTTTCTCATAGTTTCCAAACAACGCCATTGCAATAAGATGAGCGACCAGGGTGAAGCAAGGGACGGTAACTTCATTTGGTGGTAAGTGACATGCAATGAGTCGCGGTGCTGTTAAAAAGATATTTATGGAGAGGAAGAGTGCTTTTCCGCCTGAAAACCACCATAATCTTGAAAATTGCCGACGAACAGATCGCTGGAACGGGATAAACCCAAGCTATTTGGCCAGCATCGCGGAGGTGAGCCAGCTATTTGTGCCAGTAGCAACAAATGAATGCAATTATCCGACCCGGAAAAAAGATATAAGAATAGAAATATATTTAAGACACACAGGGTAAATGCAGCAAATAGCGAGACCAACGAACAATAATCTTGGGGTCCCTAAGGACGATCACCAATCTGTGCCCGATCCCAAGGCCTCCTCTACATACTGCTTGTAAAGTGCCATAAAAGCGATCACGAAAGCTTCCAAGTGAAATATCGGTTTTTGTCCGAGTTGAAGGCGATGCTCGTGTTCAGCCGCCAAGCGCACAAGTTGTAATTTCAGGTTTCCGTCACATGAGCCAAGAAGATTATCCACTAAACCCTGAAGGAGACACAAAAGTAACATAAACTGACTGAACAAGAGGAGAGCGTGGATAATAAAACGAAAAGGAAAGAATGCAGAAAGCATGAACGTCCAGGTGATCAAGGGAAACCGATAGCCACTCGATTTGCATCAGCAAAAATATAAAGGCCCGGAGATTCTCGAAACAGAGAAAATCTGGGAGGTATTGAATGATTTATAAACGCTTAGATCACAAGGAGACAGGTAACAGACGCGAATGGCAAAGAGCTAAAACTTAGAAGTGGACATGAAAAATTATCAACAGAAAGTAAACGAGTGCAACGCGCTTGTCTATTTTAGCAAAAAACTGATGATAGTCAATTTATAGTTTTTTGTTAAGGCATTCATCCTAGTAGTTCACAAGTTACATAGCATAGCCTAGTCCGGAAAATCATCAAACGCGTTTCGCCATATTGGGGCTCATCAGTGGTGCGCATTCCCTCGGCCCTCTAAAAGGGGTCGAACCCATGACCGCTAGAGGCAGATGCCAAATAGCCAACACATTAGGCCACTGAGCCATGGGGGACGTTGGCTGGGCCACATAATTTGCAAGCTAACTGGGATATAGCACCACCTATCTTCCACTGTCACTGACAGTGGCTAGCCTGTGAGGTGATGACGCCCTCTCGCTAGACGCCATATCCATAGCATTTGCAACTAGGAGAGGCCCAGTGGCTTAGGCTGCTGGCTAGTTGGCATCTATCTCTAGCAGTCATGGGTTCGATCCCCATTAGAAGACCGAAGGAATGCTCACCACTTACGAGTCCCAATAGAGTGAAACGCGTCTGGTGCTTTTCCGGACGAGGCTGTGCTATGTAGCTTGTGAACTGTTGGGATGAAAGCCTTAACGAAATTACAACTAAAATCCTGCTACTCTTGAGTAGTTTAGAGAGTTGTTCGTAGCGCAGGAGGGTGAAAGAGTGAAGTCGATATGGACAAAATAGTTACCCGGTAAGCTTAAGCCATTAGTACCAGGCACGACAGCGGTAAGATACAATAAAAGGAATGCACCGGAGTGCATCCTAGAGTTCGGCGTCACATTGTGTATGGTAAATTAGAGAAACCATGAAACACTCTACTAGTAACGGTTGTTATTGGCCTCTCGAGATCCCTTATGCAGGAGGGTGATCAAAGCCCAACCTCGAAAATGCGTCAGAGAAGAAACCACCATGAGTTAAAATGAAACTTATGTGCGAGGTGCTAATCAGATGATGGAAAATCGGTGTGCAATAGTGGATGTCAACACTGCACGGGATGGATCTAGTGGGAAAGATCGGTGACCGTTGCACAAAAAATATATACCACACACCCGGAGAAGATGGTTGGCTAATTGGAGTGAGTCGATCATAGTGGTGCGTACAAGAAAGACAGTCGCACCGACAGCGCAAACCACAGAAGAATCGTCCTAATCTCTGTGGCAACAATATTACTGACGTCAATTCTCGTACGTCACCCGACTACGGAAAAGAAACAATGGAGTAGTGAAGAGCAAACGGCTTTCCACCTAAGATGGGGCTATAGAGACCACTCTGTTGCGTGCGCTAGAGAATCGTTATAGGTACCGCAAACCGACAATAGTTGTGCTCTTCAACTTCAAGACTGCGTTCGAACAAATCGATCGATGCATTCTGTTCGAAATACTTGCGAAGAAAGGCGTTGACATGAAACAGGTGAACACAAAGTGTCATGGGCTAGAACACCACAAGCCGCGTCGGGGTCAGATGTCTTTCCCACTGCAAGTGGTGTTTCCTAAGGTTATCCAAGTTCACTATTTTCGTTTAACTTCGTCGTGGACTCCATCAAAGTGTTCTTTTACGGAATCTCACGATGCAAGCCTTGAGGCGTTGACTGGTAAAAAACCAGTAAATCTTGAATATGCGGTTGACATTGTCCTCGTATTTGATGACGTCAAGATAGCCATTCCAACCTTGGATAATCTCACTAAAGTGGTCCCATTGTTTGCCATGTGATTCGTACATTCAAAGTGCAGTTGTTGTTGCAGGACCGCCAGTTGCTTGCTGATCCATCGGTCATTAATAGCGAGGAACTCGTAATAGATCAATCCAACCACCTAAGCAGTTGCATTAGTAGCGACGGATGTGCGGGTTCCGGCTGTGTGCTATCTTCCTAGTTCGAAGCGTGACTCATTCGCTATAACCACTCATTACAAAAGACTGTAAAAAAATTATTTTCGCCCAAGTTAATTCTTTCCCATATTTCACTCAATAGGAGAAATTGCGCCTCCAGTTGCAACTGATGCTTTCGCTGTCCCTACTCTCGTTGACGTAAACACAACTTGTATCACAGATACCAGGTTCAGCTACGATATCCTAGCAGAAGCAAATCGTTACACAGCCGCAAAAAGGGCCTAACGCTCGTCCATTCCAGTTGCAGTGATGCTCTCAGCTACCTCCGAGGCCGCGTCCGAACTCAATGGCCTCCTTTACCCTAGCCGCGGATAAGAATAGACAACCAACAGCAACAACAGCAGTGTATCAGCCTATTTGAAATGACGATTCGTTGCCGTACAACCAAAACGACATACGGAACGAAGAATAGTAAGAGAGAAGGGAGACTTACCGGAAAACCTTAATGCCCTAAGCAAACACGCAGCATCAAGGCGCATACAACTTGTGTTAACAATATACCGCCATATACAGCTGCCTATCGTGCAAAGATAAGATGGCATCAGCGAGACAACCACCTTGCGGCTTTAACTACCCCACGTCATAGTCACCCATTACTGCGCTGGCAACTCAGCACCAAAGACACTTTAAACAAGTAATCCGACTAGGAGACGGCAGTAGACGCGCCACTGCTATTGACTGCGAGCCACGTCCCATAAAGTCTGGAGCCAAGCACATGACAGGTACCTTGGACTTCAGTCTGGGAGGAGAGACGGTCCGGCGGCACCGAGTTTGGTGGTCAGCGATTTCCTGTTTCGTTGCCAAGTCAACTTTTGTCCACCTCGAGCTTTGCGACACCCAACGCCTGGCAGACAAAACGAGGCGCTCCTCGGTAAGCAGTGATCAGGCATACGTAGTACGTGCACAAGCAAACCAAACTTAGTGCTACCAGTCGTTCTAAGGAACTAGTATGGTAATAACTAACTAATGCACATCATCGTTGCGGACACGCTAGTGCCACCCGACACCGGCAATGCTTCGCAGACAACGATGATCAAAGAGTTGAAGGTGCCTCAGATCCTCAGACAGAAGGAGCCAACTCTCACTCCCATTGAGTAGGACTGACCTCACTGTGGCCTTGTAAACATGGCCTTTCAGACGGGGAAACTACTGTCACCAAAGATGTCGCAGATCTAAAAAGACAGCTGTCTTTTGCAATGCGTGAACAGACTTAAGTTTCTATGCGCCCGCCGTTGTTGATACAGCTGCCAAGGTAAGTGAATTGACCAACTACCTCGGGTTCTTCGTTATCAATGGTCAAGGGGTCACCAAATGGTTGATGGTCCAGTAACAACACGTCGCACTTTGAAAGTGCAAAGAGCATACAAAATAATGGAACCACTCTACATAAGTTATTCAGGGTTGATTGCACCGCAGAACATTGTTAAATAGCAAGACGATATGGTGCGTATAAACAAGAATAACTAACATTACACCAGGCAAGAGATCAACGCCAGCATCGTGAGGCTCCGTATGGGAACACTCCATGATGCAGTCCACGAAGAAACTGAACAAAAATTAGGAAATCGGACAACCCTGACGAACGCCAATTGTTGTCGGAAAGCTATCAGACAGGACATCCTGGACACTGACGCGGTCTGGAATGTTTGAGTATAGAGCACGCAAAACGTTCACATATTTCGAGGAAACACCTTTCTGCACAAGTATTTCGAACACAATGGATTGACCGACTAAATTGAGCGCATAGTTAAAGTCGAAGAACACAACTATTGTTGGTCTGCGGCACGCCGGGCGCAACTCTAGCACCTGCCGCAGAGTGAATATATGGTCTATACAGTCCCGTCCAGGTCGGAAACTTGCCTCCTCTACCCTTATCCGGGATTCCATTTCGCAGTGAGGCGACGAACGAGAATTGAGACCAGTAATTTTGTCACAACTGGCGTTAGGCTGATTCCAATGTGGTTAGCACAACCGGTGCGACTGCCCTTCTTGTAGATTCCTACTATCAATGACTCGTCCAGTTAGCTGGGACACACTTCCTTCCAGACATGTTCCAACAGAGAGGTCTATGCTTTGCAGAAAACCTCACGTTCATCATTAAATATTGTAGGTGAGAGGGAATTCGGGCCAGAAACACGGAAACGATTGAGGGTTATGAGTGCGTTTCGGACATCATTCTCCGAAGGAGCCAATAAACTAACCGTCCATAGCTCATCCTACATCGCCAATATAGGAAAAGCTCCGAAAAAAGAGGGCCAACTGAACTGATCCTGAAAGTGTTCTGCCCAACGGCCCAACGGCTCTACTTATTGTGTACCAGTGCTCCGCGCGCCGGCCCGTAGCCTAAAGTTAACAAGCTCGACTTGTTATCTGGCGAACGAGTTCGAGTCAGCAGGAGACGATCCCTGCCAAGCTTGGAGGAAAGCTTTGCACTTTGTTGGTACAAAGCAAAGCCCAAAGCGGCTGACAGCCAGTGCCGCTTGGCACGTCTGGGAGCAGTCACAGATCAGGGCAATATCGTCTGCATACTCCAAGTCAAGAAGTCGTTCTCCTGCGAGTAGCTCCACACCTTCTAAGTCGTGTCCAGCAAATGCAATCTCCATGACTTCGTCAATAGCGAAGTTGAAGAGGAAAGGCGACAACAGGCACCCTTGTCTCACACCGGTGACAGCTCGCCGTAAGCCTTCATTCTGCCCGTGCTACGTGCGTATAATGCTCGGATAATATTTACATATTCCTCGGGCACACCTTTCCTGAGTAGACAGTCCCAAAGGGCACTTAGATCAACCGCAACGAATGCCTCTTTGATGTCGAGGAACCCGACTACGTTGG